TGAATGACTGAGAGAGAGGGAGAGAGAGAGAGAGAGAGAGAGAGAGAGAAGGAGACAGCAAGCAAAAGAAAAGCAGGAGGGCCGGCCCACTCTGAGAGCCAGAGTTTAGAGTTTGTCAGGAGATGACAGAGTGGGGAGAGAGAAAGACTGAATGAGCTGAATGGTTTAGAAAGTGAAGGAATAGAAGAAAAAAAAAGACTGAAGCAAAGAAAGTGGAGGAAAACTGATGCGTAAAAACTTGGATTTAATTAAATTTTCCATCCTGCAGCCGGCTTCCCTGGATCTACATCTTGCCAGCACTGCCACGTGCTCGCCACACACACACACACACACACACACACACACACACATTTCTGGGTCTGCCAGACAGGGGTATGTGGCCACATCCTGGATCACTCTCATCTCTGGATATGCCTCTGTGGTCGTAACACTCGTATGTGTGCGTGTGCGTGAGCATGGGAGGTGTGGAGTTCACCGGTGTGATATGGAACTATCAGTTTAACTCCGGAATCCTTTAAGAAGTTTCACCAGCATGGATTAACGAAATATGAGGAGATCTGGGCATGTTAAACAGAAACCACATCTGGAATTTCTCCTCACGGACACATGTTTAAGCTGACTTGTAGTTTTCAACTTTTCCCTATTTCTGGTTATCAGATTGTTCATTTTTTTTGCCACATCAAAAGGTCTTAATGGTTCCTTTGTGATTGTGACTCGTCCTTTTGTGAGCCCTTGCACACTCCCGTGTGTGTTGATGTGTGATGTGGTCAGCGGGTCAGGTGCCGTTGGCGATGCCTGCTGTGTGCCCGCGTGTAGGGGGTAAGGAGTGGTGTTTTCAGGATGCAGTAGGGGTGGACTGCAGCTCTCCAGAACCTCGCTGTATCTGGGTGGCGGTTTTACACGGGGATACACCAAAAATAAACGTTTTGAACCTCCAAAATGACACTATTGAAAGCACAAATGCCATCAATGCCAGCAGAGCACTGCCGAGACCCTCGCAGACCTGCAGGGTAAGCTGTTTTTATGTGTGTGTGTGTGTGTGTGTGTGTGTGGAGAAAAAGAGAGACATATAGCGTAATCTATACATGTTAAAATGCTTTTGAAAGATATTTATATTTATTTATCACTAGGGTCAGAAATTGACCTGGGTCTTGAGCAAAAATGCCACTGAAAGTCCCCAAAAAAACCCAAAAAAGCCCAAAATGGACAGAAATGCATTATAATTGCATGATATTATTTAGAATTATAGTTTAACATTTGATATATTTTTAATGATTATTTAAGTATTATATTAAATGTATTTTATATATATATATATATATATATATATATTCGAATATTTTATGTTATATTAGGTGTTATATAAATATGAAGTATTTATATTGTGTGTGTCTTTACAAGGTAAAAGGTCAGTTTCGGGGAATAAATATTGGGTCTTAAAAATACTTTTCTGAGAATGTGCCTTTTACTTGCATTTATGTCTTATCTGAAACTTTAACCATAGAGATTGTTGTGGGAGGTCAGATACTAATTAGAAAGAAATGGCACCAGATAAGGGGTTATAAAAGCCCTTCGGGTGACTGTGTATGTTTGTGTGTGTGTTAAATTGATTGGTTGGTGTGGTTTTGCTTTAAGCACCTAGATTATAGTATATAGTTAGGGAATGTCTAGGTCTGTTGTGTATATAGGAGTCTGTTTGTGTCTGTGATTGTCCTGTCATGTGATCACACACTTTAAGATATTCATAAGACATATTCCCAGGCATGTGAGGATGGAATAGTGTGGAATGGGATGGCATATTCTTCAGAATTTTACATGTAGACAGCTGTCGGCCAGACGCATGCTCATTTGAGACGCTAACCCAAACCAAAGTCAACCGTTTTCAACTATGTGTGGTCGGGCTGCTCCTTCGGTTGGGTTAACTGCTCCATGTCCTCCTAAAAAAGCAAACTGTGGCTCACCACGTTTGAACAACCATCATAATCCATTCAGAGGTGAACCCTTCCATTTTTCCCATCGCAGAAAAAGAAAATGTCTCTAGAAGGACAGACTCTGATCTGCTAATGAAGGCGAGGAGCCATGTTGTTTCAATTAGAACTGCCAGTATTTAAATGAAGCTGCTTGGGTTCGTTCAGATTTACTGCAGGACTTAATGCTCTAGTTTTCTTGTTCAGTCATTCAGCTGTGTGTTTCTCTTGGGTTGACAGAAGGTTGCCAGGTGGTGTCCTATAGCAAGGCTGTGTTAAAATACACAGTGCTGGAAGTGAACGTTTTGTCAGGATGCACTCTAGATGATACACACAACATTTTATGTGAATCAAACAAATGACTGGGGACAAATAATTAAAAAATAGGTTTTTCGGAAAATTCAAAATGACAGGACAGGAATTTTAATACTCATCTTTGTTATAATTAATGTGTAAACTTGTGGCCAGTTGATCCTTCACAAAGAGCTTGATTGGCAGGCGATCTGACCAGTCATAACGCCAAATCCGCCATTTTGTTCGACAAACAAATCAGACAGGAGAGTAGAACATCGGTGGACTTAAACTTGAAAAATTGTATTGATGTCTTTCCGCGGCTGAAATAAAATACAGGCGCTACAGTGATCTGTTACGACACATTAAAGAGCCACAAAATGGTATTTATTGTTTGAATTTCGTAAAAAATGACAACATTTTCATACCAGAAGTGACCTGCTCTGTCCATGTTGTCAGTGTCCTCTTTGCTCCGCAATGTATTTTTCACTGCATGATAACATGATTTGTAATGTGAGAGCGGCATGGCTTGTCGGACATAGCAACTGTAACTAAGGAGGGCGGGTTTTTGCGAAGGGTCAATTGTCATAAAATTTAGTGCATAGTCTCATTAAAGGGGTCATATGATGCTTTTTTTAAAGATCATTATTTTGTGTATTTGGTGTAACAGAATATCTGCATATGTGCACCAAATTTCATAAAGATCAACCATTTACTATTGAAATAATTGACTTCTGAATTTTAATTGGCTGTTAGCTGCCATTTTTATTGATTCATTGGGAAATTGATATGAGAATATGTTAGAATTTGTAGCAAAGAAACACCAGACTAAATTTTAAGTTCCTCGATCAAACAGTCGCAGAGCTATCAGCTTTTCTGTTATAGTGTCCCTTATTGGTAGAATTTCGTCACCTTGGAATTATAAACTTCTATCTGACATTTTTGTCAAAATGGAGTTATCCACATATTCTTATTCTGTGACAACTTATTTACATTATTTGATGTTTTTTTTTTGTAAGCTATGTACATTTTGGGCCTTTTTTTTTTAAACAAAAAGGGTTCTATCTACAGAAGTCTATGGAACGCAAAACATTTGAAGCTCAATATCTCAAAACTGCTCAGAATGCAGATAGAACCTTATATTTCCAAGGCGGTGATTTTACTACATTGAACTAAATTGACTAAATAATAAGAATGTCAGATCAAATACCTTTGCTGCTTGGACCCTTAATAGGTAAGTATACATGACCCAAAGTGACTTATTGTATGCTTAAGGACAATCCCCCTGGATCAACATAGGTTTAGATGACTTGCTCGAGGGAACAACGGTGGAAGCTCATGTATCACATTTGAACCTACAACCTTTCAGTCACCAATTCACATCTTTAGCCACTATGACATGCCACTCCAACACTGTAAAATTAGCTTATTTTAAGCAGTAATACTGTTAACTAAAGCTGTTGTTTTATGAAACTATTCATTTGAAATGTTGCCTTGGCAGCTAACTGAAATAATTTGAAGTTGAAGTAAGTTTAAACTGAAATGCTACACCTAAAACTGAAATAAAAAGAAATTAAAACTTTAGAATTAAGAAACTAAGAAAAATGACAAAAACAAGAAAATGAATAAAAATAGCTAATACTGAAAACTGATGTAAAAATAAAAGCTAATTACAAATCTTTAAAAAAAACAACAACTATAAAGCTATAAAACTATAAATATTACTGATTCTAAAGGTCATGCTATGATATGCGCCACAGAAGATGTCCATTTAGTACATTGTATGGTCATTATATGGTTACAATTAAGTAGAGTATAAACAATGTCTATTTGATATTAAAATGATGTTGATATTGAAGTCACTCTGCTGGATACAAGTACATTCATTCATATTCCCTGCAGTTCTGTTTATTGTTTTTATCCTGGATTGAAACATTGCTATAAAGGTGGAAAACCCTGTTTAACGGAGCTCCAGTGGAACTGAAAGAGCTGACAGACAGGTTTAAACGCACGCATACTCACACCTCTTCTCAGTTGTGTGTGTTGCAGTCATAGGGCAGGGTGTCAGGGATTAAACACTCAACATTAATTACGCTCAACTTTTCAGCAGGATCACACACTCAGCTGTTTGCAGTGTATTGTTTCTGGCGACTGTCTGTGAGTGTGTGTAAGCATAACCTGCCAACTTAGAGGACTGGAGACATAATAAAACACTCATCAAATGAGGCATTTTGAGGGCATTTAGCAATATACATTCTTATGTCAATGTCCACATTAGGGCTGCACGATAAATCGCATGCGATATTTAACGCGCATCTTGTCAGTAAAGTCGGTTGTTTAATCAGCGGTAAATCTCCATCACCTGCGGGCTTTCACATGGAGCAGCATTAACTACACAGAGCCGGTGTTCACCGACAAGCTGCGCAAAACCACGATCATATTTTGCGCATCTTTTGCGCAGCTTGTCGGTGAACAACGGCTCTGTGTAGTTAATGCTGCTCAGTGTGAAAGCCCGCACGTGATGGAGATTTACCGCTGATTACAGAATGGCTTTACTGACAAGATGCGCGTTAAATATCGCATGCGATTTATCGTGCAGCCCTAGTCCACATTTAGTTCCCAATTCTTTCCCTGATTTATGACCAAATTACCCTGAATCAACACCAGAAACACGTCACCCTCAAAGAAAAATGTGTCGGGTGTGTGTTAACCCATCATCAGCTGGCTATAAACTATGACCTCAACCCAAATGTTGGGCTGAATGAATTTTGGATGTTAAGCAGAAGTTAGGGTTGTGCCGATAGACGATAGTATCGTGTATCGACGGTAGTCAGAGATAGCCCATTATAATTCGGCTATTATTATCAAAATGCCCTGCTTTTTCATTCAGCACTGTATTTCACACACACACACACACACACACACACACACGCAAATGAGGAGCGTGTAGCTGGTGAAGGAGTCTCCAACCACAAACACAGACACATATCGTCTGCTGATATAAGGTATTTCGTTGCACTTTAACAAGTAATCTGAACGGCCTATATATGTGCAATATTTTAACCGAGCCCTCACTAACTGAGTTTAATGCCACAGTTATGTTAGAACGCATCTCATTCTTGTTTCTGTGGCGGTGCGTCCTGAGCGCTGTATGACTGATGTATCCGTGCAATTTAACTTTACTCCAAATATATGAACTTACCTGTTTTAAATACTTTTATATTTAACATGTTCATTTATGTCCAATATTTAGTGTTAAACTGTTGGTCTTTGAAATAAATCTACTTTTGATATTCACCGTTGACTGCAGACCTTTTAGACTGATAACGTTCTTGCTCTGATGCGGCAAACTTGTCACAGGACATGCGGTCCTAATAACGATGTATGACTGTTGTATCCGAATATATATGCAATAGCTGTTTTAAATATTTTTTTTATATTTAACATGTTAGTTTATCAGTATGTTTGAAAGTATATTATTTAATTCGTGGTGCTTCCATAGGCTCCCTCTCTCTTGCGCGCGCACGCGGTTTAAAACACCAAATAGTTATGAAATAGCCTATGATAAATACAGAGTCTCTCTCTTGCCCCCACCCACGCACACACGCACGATAATATCGTCTATCGGCGATCTCACGGACTGGCGATATGGTGATTCGAAAAATGACCATATCGCCCAACACTAGCAGAAGTCATAAGGGTGTATTTCTAGTGCACAACACTACTATGATTATTATTTTTTTTTAGATTTATTTTTGGCAGTTTGCTGGGATTCGAAATCGGCTCTCCCATAACGCAACGGCGTTATATGTCGTTGCACTGCCCACTAGGCTATCAGCGCCAACACTACTATGATTTCAACGATGTTTGCATTTATTAATTTGGCTGATGCATAGTTAGACAGACAAATGCAAACATGTAAAAAAAAAAAAAAAAATCTGTATATTTTTTATGGTTTTTCAGAAAAAAATATTTACTGAATGTACTGAATATTTATATTGAATTGGATTTTATTTTTATGTTTTTAGTTATCAGTTTAATTTTAATTGAAGTTTTTGTTTATAAATATCAAATTAAACTGATAACTAAAAACATAAAAATAAAACCCAATTCAAAATATTAAAAAAAACTATAATGGTATATACATTTTATATCAGAATCAAAATCAGAATGAGCTTTATTGCCAGGTATGTTTACACATACGAGGAATTTGTTTTAGTGGCAGAAGCTCCACAGTGCAACAGAATGACAGTGACAGGACAGGACACAGATAATAAAAATAATAAT